AATTTCTGTCGGTCTGATAGTAGGTACTATGACAGCCTACTGGGATGCACCGTGAATTGATTTCTATTTCAAGTTTGCAAGCTAGCCACTTCTTCCATAACAGCCATTAGCTAAGCTGAGTGTGTCAAGAAGGCACAAGCCTAGACCCTGCTAGACCTTGGATAAGTACCTGTTCGAGCACCTTCAGTAACGCTACGAACATAGGAGGCAAGATGAATAACTTTGAGGGGTTCAGGCAGCAAGAGTCCGGACTCTTGCTGCCTGAATTGAGTATGCAACAGTCGTACGATACTGACCTGGATGCCATTTAAAGCGGTAGGTACACTGTTATTACCTGTGTGCTTGGGATTATGAAACTTGTGATCTATATCAGCTTCATAGTCTTGTTATAGTTATGGATTTAATATTTTCGGTGTTTATTCTTGTTCAAAATCGGTAGCATGCATTTATCATTATCCATTTTCTTTAACTAAATTTTGTTTTAATTGATAATTATTTCAAAAACCTTCAGGTTTTGTGGCATTTTCGGTCCTTTTCGTCTCGAAATGTGAGTGTTCCCACATATTTCATTGGGAGCAGCACAGACAAAGAATATTTAAAGATGAAGAGACTAATTATGGCAAAAATTAACTAAGTATTCATTATGGCTTCAGGGTCTTGAAGGACAGTCAAATATGCATGCCGACGTTTCCGAAATTCAGTGATTGTCAAAAAGAAGTTCCCTCATTCTTTCCGGTTGCGACGAAACTATTTGTTTTTAGTCTTTCATGCCATAATGCCCCGTCCTGATGACTCCACACACTTTGGTTTCATTAAACCGGTCAAACAGAGCAACAGCACCACAGCAATCAGGTTTTAGGAGCACTAGCTCACACGTGACAAGGTCAGATATTCCTTCTGCTCGTTTAAATCTGTTATGATGGGGCTTTAATAAAATGGTGAAGGGTCCTATCCTTATATTTTAAGCTTTTTAAAAAAAGTTAAAAATGCTCCTTCCCTATGTCAGGAGGATGGAGTCGCAGAGGGAGCATAAGGCTAATTTTGAAAATGGTAATTTTTCGATTTGTACTGAACTCCTAAATTGAAAGTTAGTGAGCATATATTGGCATTTATCGGTAAATACTGAGGACTCCAAACCCTAGTTATAGTCTCTGTAGTTGCAACAGTGAGAGACATGTGGAGGAAAACTGGGAGAAAACTACAGGAAAGGACGAAGGACGGATATGTACGAATGTGTATTTATTTTTTCAGTTAATTAACCAACATACTTGACATTCCCAATCAAAAGAGACATGTAATATTTACTTTCAGGGTTTGATCTCGTGGCTGGTGTGTGCGTCGAGTACATGCATTCTGTACTCCAAGGAGCAGCGAGGCAGTTCACGGAGCTGCAGTTTGGTTCATCAAACTCTCAGAAGCCGTTCTACATAGGTATGTGCCAAGAACCGCTTTTAGTGACAAGTTTAGCGATTTATGGACTGGAGAGGAGGAAGGGAACAAAGGGTGCAGTGAAGACGAGGAACCTACTCCGCTACAGCCTTCTTTCTGCTTCCTCTTCTTGAAGCTCGTATCAATCAGTACATTGGAACCAATTGGGAAAACTGATTTCAAGTTCTCAATTGAAGAAAAACATTTGAATCCAATTGTAGAACTCTAACTGTTAGGTGCCACTTGAATCAAATTGTCTTTTTACTATTTTTTTTTCATCTGATAAGTTGTTCATGGTAATGTGCACAACCAGAGGTAGTGCCAAACTAAACATTTATTTAAACCCTTTTGCACGACAGTCATATCATCTGCAGTCTTGAGATAGATTGGTAAATTCCAATGAGTAAAATAGTTTTGAGTTGGCTTTTATAAATATAACCAGTTTGGAAAACTTCTTTAATCTTACATAGGAAGAGATATGCATTATGCTATTCATAATGGTGATGACAATGTCTGCTAAAGTCCTACTGTCACATTTCTATTAAAGGGGCGATGCAGCGATTCTTGTACTTTGCACGAATACCGCTTATAACGGATTCTTGGCGTTAATGAGCTGTGAAACACCCGTTCGTATTTCACCACACGCAATCCAAGTCGCAGAAAAAAATAAAGAAAAACGAGCAGCGTTCACCTTCTCAACTCGCAGCCAGAACAAGCGGCCACGTGATCTGGAGCCGATTATATGCCGCCAATGTTGATTATGGCCACGCGCTGGGGTTGGCAAGGCACAGGACACGCGCTGAGTTCCAGACATTGTTATGGTTCGGCTATTGTCGTCTCTACAGCAATTGGACACGGGCCACTACCCGAATGCTTCTCAAGCTATCGATTATCACGAGCCCCAGCCGAGTGTTCACGCAGTGCTCGGGTCCAATCTATGAGCCGCATTCAAATATCGTCACTCGGCGGTACTCCGACCGCCGAGCTACGTCATCAAGTTTTGTGAAGGAGAGATTGAATGAAAACGCTCGCCTTGGTCCTTGATATTACACCGCAACAAAGGAGTTTCTGGGCCAGTGGCGTTGCACGCGAATATTCTTGAGTCCCACTAATGCCAGTAAGCTCGTGTAAAATGTAAAACATTCCAATTAAATATCGTTGCACCGCCCCTTTAAATGCGAACCATTTCTGAGCGAATTCTTCTCACTCTGGGTTTCCGTCGGTCACTGGGTCGGCTCGCCGTATACGAAAGGCGTCACAGGAAAGTATTAACTGAGTACCACTCACGTAACCTGATCACATAACACTAAAACACGTAATGCAACCTTGCATGATTAAGTGGCACATGACCACATGCCTTTACATGATTGTTGCAGAACAAATAAGATTCTGGCAATAGTAGAGTTATACTATAGGTAATATAAAAAAGAAAAAGTGAAGGCCAGTTATGGCGGCTGAAATTTGGCGCTCTCTGAAAGCGTCTATTACATAGCAGGAGCAGCAGCATGTCATGGTAGACAACCGTTTCTGCTATTTGCCAACTTTTGGCAACAAAGACAATGAAAAAACTATTTTAGGCAGCACGGTTGGCCCTTTTTAGTTAGCAAAAACTGTATTGACCGAACACTAACTTGTTTTTCGTTCTAACTTATCAAAAAAAAATGCCTGGCCAACGCTATTTTATGGGAATCTATTTATTTATTTATTTATTCAAGTTCCCTTAAAGGCCCTCGTTGAGGGCATTACATAAGGGGGGGTACATAACACGAGAGTATAAAACAGTAACAACGACATATGCGAATACATGGGGTGCTGCAAAACAACGTGGCATCGCCACGAGCAACGGCAATACACAAATTAGTCTGGGTACATGGGGATGTAAGGGGGTGAAAACATTGATACAGCCAGTAAAGCACAAGACAAACAAATAAAAAAAAAGAAAAGGCACAGTGGGATTAACAGAAATGTGCACAAAGAGCGTTGCGAAATGCGGTGGGATCCGTCTGGGTCACAATAAGTGAGGGGAGGTCGTTCCAGTCTACAATAGTACGAGGGAAGAAGGAGGAGTTAAAATAGGTTGTGCTGCCTGAGATGCGGGAAACGTGACACGGGTGACTTAGCCGCGATGAAGATCGCCTGGGGGGTAGGAGGAGCGGGTCTCGGAGCGCAGGGAGGTAGTAATAAATTTTGTGAAAGAGACAGAGTCGTGCTATCTTACGGCGGACGTTTAGTAATGGAAGGTTCAGTTCGCTCTTTAGCGCGGATACACTAACCGACCAATCGTATTTCTTCAAAATAAACCTGGCAGCGCGGTTCTGGACTGCCTCGAGATGATTTAATAAGTATATTTGGTGAGGGCTCCAAATGGCCCCAGCATATTCTAATTTGGGTCGAATGTATGTCTCATAAGCCAATTTTCGCACGAATGGGGGAGCCGATTTCAGGTTCCGTCTTATGTAACCGAGGCAGCGAGACGCCTCAGCGCATATAAGTTCGATGTGAGCGTTCCAGGTAAGATCGTTAGTTACAGTCACACCGAGGTATTTATAGGACGGGACGGCTTCGACTAAGTTATTTTCTAACTTGTACGAGAACTGAGATGCTTGCCGTTTTCGTGAAAACCGGACTAACTTGCATTTAGATTTGTTTAGCGTCATTAACCACCTGGTGCACCATGCCTTGATTTCGTCCAGGTCTCTTTGAAGTAAAAGATGGTCCTCAAAAGAAGCTATTCTTCGGTATAGGACGCAGTCGTCAGCGAAAAGGCGGATGTTAGAGGAGATTTTGCCTGGAATGTCATTAATAAAGATCAGAAAAAGTAGGGGACCAAGAACCGATCCCTGGGGAACTCCCGAAGTAACCTCAGCGCGGGCGGATGAGGAACTATTAATTGTGGTGAATTGAGTGCGAGAGGAGAGGAAATCCTGGATCCAGGAGAGAATGAGAGGGCCAATTCCGAGGCATGAAAGTTTGGCAAGCAGGCGACAGTGGACAACGCGGTCGAAAGCCTTTGAAAAGTCTAAAAATAGGGCATCAGTTTGGTAGTTGGATTCAAAATTAGTGTATAACTAGTGGGTGAATTCTACGAGTTGCGTCTCACAGGACAGTCCCTTACTAAAACCGTGTTGCTTGTTGTAAAAGAAGTTATTACTCTCAAGATGAGATACAACGTTTGAGTAGATAATATGCTTTAGGAGTTTTGAGGCTACGCAGGTTAGAGATATAGGGCGGTAATTCGAAGCGGAAGAACGATCCCCATTTTTAAAAACCGGAACGACCTTACCCAGTTTCCAGTCGGATGGTAGGCATCCCTGCGATAAGGACTGCGAGAATATTAAGTAGAGAAATTCACTGGATATTGCTTTGGTGTAATGAAGAATTTTGGGGGTGATGTCGTCAGGTCCTCCAGAGGATGTCAATTTCAAGTTGTCAAGGAGTTTCGCTATTCCACCGCATGAGATCTCAATAGGTTCCATTGACTCGTACGGTAGTGCTGCCAATATAGGGACGTCGGCGTCTTCGAATGTAAACACAGACGAAAAATAGTCGTTTAATACTGTGGCACAGTCCGCTTCAGATATCTGGGACCCGTCCTCGTCGGTTAGCTGGATAGAGGAGGAGCGAGAGTTGGGGGATATTATCTTCCAGAATTTTTTAGGGTTGTTACGCAGGATACCAAAAAGATCCTCAAAAAAGAACTTGTGTTTAGCCAGACGAAGGTTCCGAGTGTAGGTCTTAAGGCACAAAAAGTATGCATCCCAGGCAGCGTCGCAGTCTAGACGCCTTGCTCTTCTAAACAATCGCTTTTTTTTTATTGTTGAGGGACCTTAATGCTTTGTTATACCACGGGTTGCAATCATCGCTCCGAATATGTACAGAGGGTACAAACAGGTTAACGAGATTATTTAACTTATTCTTAAAAAGTAACCAGTTCTGTTCTATGGTCCTAGAGTAAAAACTGACGGTATACAAGGGAAGATATGCAGAAAGATTGCTGTTCATTGCGTCGAAATTGGCTTTGGAGTAGTCCTTGATCATTTTTGAGGATGGGTTTCTATAATGGATGGGTAAAGATAACTCCACGGTCAGCAGATTGTGGTCGCTAAAACCTTTGCTTTGGCTAATGGATGTCACCAGGTCTGGGGACGTCGTTAGAATAAGATCAAGGATGTTGTCTTCACGTGTAGGTTTGTCGACGACTTGGGTGAGATTATGGTTTAAGCATAGATCGAGAAAATCCCTGGCTTCACTGGACCCACTAGTTGTTAGACTAAACCAATCTATGTTAGGGAAGTTAAAGTCGCCAAAGACTATGACATTCGATCTTGGGTACCGCTCATTGATTTCAAGCAGCAGAGAATGAAGCTCGTGGCAAAACATGCCGGTATAATTCGGAGGTCGGTAGCAGACGCCGATAATAGTTTTTGTGCAGGACGATGTAACACAAACAAAAGTAGCCTCGATATTGGAGCTGGTAGTAATATGAAAGGAAGAAATGCATGAAAAACTAGGAATCGAGAGGCGATTGTTGAAAGATCACAGCTACAGGCACAAATTGTGAAACTGTAGTTGAGATTAGAATTGCTGGCAACAATCGGACATGTTTTTCCACACACCCGGAGTTGGCGAATGAAGCAAGCAGGCAGGAAGCTTTCAGTGAATATTTATTATTATTATCATAGCGACAGTCTCTCTATTAGTTCCTATTTCTGAGCGATGTCAGCTTTGCTGAACACCACCGCAAAATGTATGACGATATATAGTCTGCGCTTATTTTTACAGTAAAGATAGGAATTGAAAACAGAAGATCGCTTTAATCAAGAGAGCCTTTAGGCCTAGTCTTACCACCAGTAAGTGACGAGCAGTCTGATAAAAAGAAAAACAGCGGAAAAAACTTCTCATATTTTTGTTTGTGAATTTATGAATGTCGTCCCGCTGAAATCCTCAAACAGTCGAACACACAAATGCTCTGTAAAAACAAATTTCTATGTTATCTCGTGAATCACAGTAAACAAACAAAAAACATGGCCGCATGTTTTTCATGCAGTTATCCAAGTAAGAGAAGTATACTTAATGCATTCTATCACCTTTAATTCTTAAAGGATCACCCTCCTGTGTGGCTCAAGTCAACAGCCGCCTCCTCGCGATCAAGCCCCCTCACTGTGTGACAAGACTACCTCGGTCACTGAATGAGCGCAGCTTCTGGAAAGCATCAGAATGGAGACACTGGCTGTTGTTTTATGCTCTGCCATGTCTCGAAGACATCCTCCCTCTTGAGTACTGGAAGCACCTCTCGAAGCTTTCAGAAGCAATCCACATGTTGCTACGTGAGACCATCACACCCCATGACATCAAGCGTGCAGGTAAGCTTGAAACTTTTTTTCCCTTCCTGCCATGTAACGATACCTTCAAAGGCATAAAGGGTCAGGGTTCCTCAAATGGGAGCTTTGCTGCCAATTCAAACATTTAAAAATAGCGTTTATGCTGAAAGACTGCATGCAGTTTGTTTTGTATAAAGTTTCAGTATCATCTGTGGGACTAAACCAAAGCTGTTTTGCACCTTAACATGTCTGCCATCTTGTACCGTGCTGTGACACCGGACTTGGCCGCAGAGCATAGCTGTCAGTGTTATGGAGCATGCAAAAAGTTTGTGTTCGTCCCTCCTGTGGCACAAATGGGAGTATATGCATATGCTACACTACAGATAGCTCATTGGTGACATTCTAAATTGCGAAATTCGAGAAAACTTGCTGTTTGCCAATAACCTGTCAGCATCGCCAATGAGGGAATGACTAGCTGCGCCCCCTACCTGCAGGAACATGGAATCCTTTGCCGCTCCAGAGGTGCAATGGTGCAAACACATTTCTTTTTCTCATGTTGTAAACAGCTCCAGTTTAACATTTCTAGAACTCGACGTGCCTGGAAGTGACTAGGAGTATATATTTCCTGACACCTATACTCTATAATGTTGGCTGGCCTAACTCTCCGTTCAATGCTCCTGACTAACGACTTGAATTCACATGAATGTTCTAGAGAAGCATCCTTGAAAAAGCAGGGGGGGGTCGGGCGAAATGCTTCGGCGGCTGAACCTAACCTTAGCCTCCCGTACCACCGAACAGATTCAATACTTAAAGGAAGATACCACCGCTGGCTTCTTGTTGCTGCTGGGAAATACCTGTGAACGAATGTGGATAACCCTTGGCGGCTTTTCGATACAAGCTGCCAAGGTATCCACATTAGATAAAGGATAAAGACCGCATTAAAAAGCGGGAAGTTACAAAGTTCAAGTGGGAATGATTGGCTGGCAGAGGGATATGAACTCCTATGATACGATGCCATCACTGAATTCTCGACCTGTCACCAACTATATAGCACACATCAGAACTTTGCACCATGGGCCAACCTACTCTCCCGATGTGCCCTTAATTCTCTGAGCACTCGAGCACCCTACTGGAAACTGCATCACCAATAGAGTCCCCCTCTCCTAATCAAACTCAATAGCTTCTTCAGGCGCGGTGAGACGTGTTAACTTTTGCAGGAAATTTTAGATCCATTCAGCATGTCCCCTTCCTGCCTAACACAAAATCAAACTCTTGTAGTGTGTGCAGGGTAATGAATAGAGCCTGAAAACGGTGTACTGTATTTTCCGGACTATAAGTCACACCCCTGTATAAGTTGCACATGCTTATCTTGAGCCGTTTTCGTGTAAAAGTTGGTATATAATATAGGTCGCACCTTTGTATAAACCTCTTTGCACAATTCACGCGATGAGCTTTTCATTTATGCGCATTGGTATTGCAAAATCGAGGTTGCGCACAATCGGCTAGATCGCACATACCATTGGACGCTTCTATATCTTAAGGTAACAGCGCAAGGTCAATCACACAAAACGATACACAGAAGGACAAACACACGTGCTGACTTACAACTCTTTTGTATTCTGCTACTTTGTTCTCTTCATTGGGTTGACTCCAAATCTCCATGACCAGCAAAATAGCACGAATACAGGAAAAAATATGTTTCTCGGACAACTTTGGTGTTTCGCCTCGCGAGAAATGCCCATAGCCAACGCTGTCTGGCGCAGCAGTTGAGTGTTTCGCAGCAAAATGGGTAGGTAGCCGACTTTATTCAAACAAACACATGCCGAGCGAACGAAAGTTTTTTTGTGTTAGACACTCGTGAACCAAGCTTTGGACCACTAGGCCTAGCCTAGGACAAGTGCTGGAGACGACGCGGCATTGATGGACAGGCAGATAGATAAATCTTTACATACTTCTTTCGGTATCTCTAAAAGATTGACTAGCCACAATCTTTCCTTTCACATGTAGCAACACGGCTGGAGCATGGCAGAAAAAAACTGTTCATCAAATGGAAACTAAGAAAGACGCAAGAAAATATTCTGCAATGCATGCATACCAGGCCACTTACCTTTCAGTGTTACTGGACTGAAGTAAAAGAATAGAGTCATGGCTGAATTAGGCAACGTCGATCACGTGCCGTAAAAGCTTTGTTCTCGACGCTCTCGCCTATCCACATTGAGCCGCTTCGGGGAAATCGTAAAATTTCTCGCTTTCAGTTATGAAAAGTTTAGAAGATGGTAAACAAGTGCGGCGACAGCAGTGCCTCCTGGAAGGGACAACACCACCTTTGGCTACATAGTTCCGGTGCTCTACAAAAGATGGCAAGCGGTGCAAAAAAAAATGGCGTCTCGCCATGAATGAAAAAATAGAAAGCATATAAGTTGCATTGTTCTCTAAGATGCACCAATAAAAATGTTTGAAAGAAACCGCGACTTATACACTAGAAAATATGGTAACATGTAAAAGTGAAAGTTGGAATGAACTTGCTCCTTAAATACCTCCTCTAAAAGAATAGACACATAATTTTTCAAGGTTTGACACTCTTAATGTATAGCAATTTCACTTGGACATCTAGCTACTTTTGTATTACTAATTATGTGGATAGTATTTCTGGTAATTTGTCTTGGAGCTAGGCTCATTATTAGATTCTCATCTAAAGATATGCAAATGCTTATTCTTTCATTTTTCAGAAGAGCTGCTCCACGACTTCGTTGGTCGCTGCGAGGGCCTCTACGGCGTGGCGTCCCTGACCTTTAACGTCCACCAGCTTCTTCATCTACCGGACTCTGTTCGTCAGCTGGGACCGTTATGGGCTCAATCAGCCTTCGTGTTCGAGGGAGGAAATGGAAAGCTTGTAAAGCTAGTCTCCGCAGCCAAGGGGCTTCCAGACCAGATTGTTGAACGCGTCGTGATGTCGCAGCAGCTTGAGTGCGTACTAGCAAACCATGACCTTGCAATCACTGCCAGCGAGCGAAGTGTGTGTGAAAGTTTTCTAAATTTTTCACATATTCAGAATGCCCAGTACATTGATGAGGTGTGTCTGTTGGGACAGGAAGGAGTCACCACTCTGACCACTGTTGAGAAGCGCTCGCTGGAAGAAAAGGGTGTGAGCGTTGGCGTGGCTGGCGAGTTTCAGCGCTTTGCATACAAGGGGCAGATCTTTCACAGCATGGCATATACAAGGGCTGCAAAGAGTGACACCACTGTGATTTCGACTTGTGACGGGGAGTACTTTAGAATTCAGAAAATTCTCCTTGTTCCTGACCTTGGATGCACCCTCCTCTGCAGACGCCTAGTGCTAAGAGAGGCACCCCTCTTTCCCGCTCATATAAAGGAATGCTTTCTTTCGCAAGTAGACGTGTGTGAAGTGCTGAAACCCGAGAGCATTATGGCCAACTGCATTTTCATTGAGTTCTTAAACCAAAGCAAGAGCTTTGTGTGTGACATGGCAAACAAAATTGAAAGAGATTAATATTGAATCGAGCACTCCCAGTTAAAAATTCTCATTAGATTCCAATTAAAAACAAATACCTCCGACTTGCATAACAATACCAACAATTTATCAGATGTTTCGTCTCCTATACGGGAGAGATCATCAGTGCGGCCTGGGAACACCCGACTAGCTACCAGCAATCCAACGCAACAGAAGAAGCGTTGGATTGCTGGTAGCTAGTCGGGTGTTCCCAGGCCGCATTGATGATGTCTCCCGTATAGGAGACGAAACATCTGATAAATTGTTGGTATTGTTATGCAAGTCGGAGGTATTTGTTTTTAATCATGAATCCCGGCTTTTGGAACATTTTTGCATAGATTCCAATTGAAATTTCCAATTGGTACCAGTTAGGTTTTCGGACAACCAATTGGTCACTGCAATGGGAACCAATGAGAACCATTTGAAACCCATTAGTTTCCAACTTGACAATAGTTTCCAATTGGTGAGACCCATTGGCCAGTGTGCTTTCAATTGGAACCCATTAAAACCAATTTGTTCCAATTAAAACCAGATAGAATTCCAATTGGATCTAATGATAATTTTTAGCTGGGCTGTCACAAATTCCAGCGTATTCTCAGTTTTATTTTTATTTTCTCGTGCTGTTATTGTTGGTCACAACTACACTTATCTGTTGAGCTTTAGGTCAAAAGTCAAATTCGGGGGTTTTACATGCCAAACTAACGACGGGCATCTGGCACGCCCCGGTGGAGGACTGAGAATTAATTTGGACCACCTGGGGATCTTTTGACGTGCAACCGAAAGCTCGGTTACAAGCCTCCTCTGCAATAGGCCTCCGTCAGATTGCGGGCACCTCGGCCGGGATCCTCTTGAGCTTTAGGAGTTGCGAGCGAAATACAAGGCATCTTGGAACCATATAAATGCACTTATACGCTCTGCTAGACGTAATCATTACACAGAAAAACTTATAACGCTCGTTTCAACTCTAGGGAAACGTGGTCTATAACTAACGAGCTTCGCGGTGTCTCTCGAAAAAGTGCCTCTGACCTGTTGGAAAAGAGCTTTGGAACCAATTTAGTCACCACAGCTACTTCTTTTGCTCAACTTTTTGCCTCTTCCATTTGTAATAGCACAGGGTATGATGCGCCCAATGCTTATGATATAAATATAGCCTTGTCATCTGCATTTCTTCCTGCGATTTCAAGGGCCGAGTTACTTTCAATTCTATTTTCCTTTTAAAGAAATAAATCACCAGGAATCAATGGTTTATCTGTCATAGACCTCTGTGATAATTTTTGATGCGCTTGCAGAAGTTGTGGTAGCCATGATACATGGGTTTATATGTTCTGGCTATTTCCCTGCAGATCTCAAAACAACAATGGTGTACCTATCCACAAAGGTGGCCCTCGTAACTTGCTGTTATCATACCGCCCCATTGCGATACTGTCGTACATATCACAAATTTTAGAAAAACATGTATTAGTTTCCATGAATGGTTTTCTTGATAAGCATTGTATAATATCATCTTCACAGCACGGCTTTGTCGCGGGGCTCGGCACGTCATGCTTACTAGACGTGTTTCTGACTTCCTTCATTCGTCTTTCTATACCAACTCTTGTGTATGCGCTCTTTTCCTCAATGTTAGAAAAGCATTTGATCCTGTTAATCATACAATTTTACTTAAAAAATTGTACTGTGTAGGATTCAGAGGTTCTTTCTTCGCTCTGCTGCATGATTACTTATGATCTCGTTCACAGTTGGTGTCC